CCAAGAATTACGAAAACGTGAATCCTGAAACTTGACGCCAGGTTGATAGCCAGCACTCTTAGAATAACCTTTGATAACCACACAATGCAGACCAGCATAACTGCACAAACGTTTAAATAGCACATGATAACTCTCTGTGCCATATTTAATTCCTCTTAAAAGACCCATAGGCGTGTCACCACGTAAATCATCGTCAAAGTGCATAGCATTTAAATTTTTGACCGTTATCCATCGGAAAATGGTGCGTGCTTTTTCAATATCTGTTGTACAACGACCCACCAACATACGCACTAAGTCAGTAAAAGTTTTCTGATCTTCTTGCGCAACCTACAAATTAATAATAATTAATAATTTAATGTAATAACAGTAACTATTCAATAAATCACTTACGGATATGGCTATGCGATCGACATCTTCGAACTCTATAGGATCCGTATATATTTGGAATTTGCTAACTGCTGGTGGTCCTGGTTCTGGTGCTAACATTGGATATTCTAGAGGTATTGTGCCTTCAGTGAATTCATCATCAAGAAATATGCTTTCATTTTGCATGTACTCCGATCGACGTGCACTTATTAATTCCAACATTTCACTTGACTGGCGATCGACTAGAGCTGCAGTCTCATAACGTTCATGTTCGAGCATTTTACGTGTAATACTCTCCTTCTTTTTACTACGCCGTAATGTCATATTTTTTTCCAAATCCTCCTTTTGTTGTTCATGACGAAGTGTCAGTATATTTTGTTCATCGCGATTACGTCTTGAAGTAGCCAATTCTTTTTCAAATTTATGAGTTAGACGTTGTAGTTCACGTTCCCATTCATCTTGGAATTCAGTTTGAATTTTCCGATCCTCCTCTTCGCGTTTACGTGCAAATTTTCTATATAAATCGTCTTCTTCTTTACGATGTTTCATCTCCAAACGTGCTTGTTCCTCTCTTGCCTAAAAAATTCCGAAAAAAGTTTTTGTATTATTGACTGGATAAAAAGATGGTTTAAAATTGCAACAAAACAACTGTTGCAAATTGCAACATCTCACATGAGATGGCAAAACAGCTGCTTTTTTCCTTTTTTGTTTCGTTGCAAGCATATATACATGGATTTAGGTATAGCAAGATTGCAAGCAATTGCACGAAACTTTGCGCGTGTATTTTGTTGTTACTAATTGCATACGCGTACAATCTGTGCATTTCATGCACCTTGCAATGAGTTTGCAAGAGATAGTGAATACTCCTATGGATTTAGGATTTAGCAAGCAATTACAAAAAACTTTGTGTGTGTATTTTATTATTGTCCATTTCGTGCACCTTACAATGACTTTGCAATACAGAGGGAGAAGAAATTTTCAACAGACACTCTATATGATTAGTTCACTTTTGGAAAAGTTTACATTATATTTTAAAATGTTATTGACTTATAGTTTATGTTTAAATTGTTATACAGTCTTTCATAAATATTACGGTTTAATAGAAAATACATAATTGGTTTATTATTTTCTTATAAGTATTTTAAGCATCTCATTAAAGTTTTTATTTGCAATGGTGTGCTAACTTGACTAATTATTATTGTATGTTATGCTTAAGTGAACTAAGTAAATACTGTAATTTTTGCTTTGTTTGTATTGAATTTGTTATATTTGAAATTATTGTAGAGCAAATAGTTTAGCTGCATTTTAGATAACAAACATCTCTGATAATTGCATGCTTTCAGCTATGGAATACTGTACATTTGCTGACGCATGTCATGAATTTGAAATGGTCTATGGGCACAGACATAGGCCATGCAATATTTGCTTCTTTATAAGATTACATTTATTTTTTTTTCAAAAAATTTATTTGTTTAATATTTTATTACTAATTTGTTGAAATTAATTTTCTCATTGATGAACTCTTGCTGTGTTTTATCTGCACTGTGTATTTCGATGTTATCAATTAAACGTTTAATTAATAAATTTTTATATATGATAGTACATGAACACGATAGTATGACATGGTCTTTGAATATTTAATTATTCTGCATTTATACTAAATATATTATTTGAACATTGCACTGATGGACTAGCAAAATTCATTAAAACAAAATATCTTTTCATACGAGTTGATGCCACAATTACAAGATATTCGTTCATTTTTAATTGCAGATATTAATTAATTATTGCTTTTCTCATCGCGTGCTTAAATTTTTTTTTCTAAATTACACATTCGTTCATTTTTTCAGTGCCAAGTTCATTGAGTTTTTTAAATAATACAAATTTAAAAAAAAAAAGATATTTACTATTTAATTCGAATTTGCTTACGAAGTGTTTGTTTCCGTAAATTTTTACTCTAATAGTTCAAAAGCCTTTCAATGCTGGAACGGTACGTGCTATCTAAACACCGACTGTTAACGCCCACGTCTATTATTTCACAGCCACAAAATTGTAATAAGAGTTTTTGTGAGAAAAAGACGCAATCGGAAATGAATCTGAAAGTGCAAAACTCGAACATTTTGAACTTTTTCCATTTTTGGTACCGCACAGGCAGCAATTTTAAAATTATAGCAAATGAAACTGAAAGTTTTCATTTGTTAGTTATTTGCAAACATAATCATAATCGACTTTGGAAAATTTGAATATCGATATATTCACATATAGCGTAGCGTGATAAGATAAATTTTGAAAATATCTTATTTCAACTATGAAACAATAGCATCTGTATTAAAAACCATCCTTAATTTTTATTAGAAAAATATACCTTAGTTACTAGAAATATTGGTAAGATATGTAGTTTTGAAAAGGTAAGGGTTTCTATAACATTTGTACTCCTATTTCAAGGGTTCCATTTGAACCATTTTAATTGCTTTGACAATTGTATGGGCTTTTCAGAAAAACCTTTTCAAGAAGAAGAATTTTTAAAAATTCGATCTCACTTAATCTTATTAGTTTCCTAGCTCTATATGTATAAAAACGCGGCCAGATTTATTTAATTGAAGCGCAATCAAACTGTCACATAATTTCTGCTTTTTTGAGAAGGGTATATTAAAGACTAACAGATACTGATTAATGTGTAGATCCCTAGAGAATAATTGATATAGTTCATAATTGCTCATCTGTGTATCAATTTATCTGCTAAACAACAGAATGACAAATACGTTGTTATGCCTGCCTACTGATCTTCTTCAGATATGCATTACAGGAAAATACAACTTTTGATTTAATTTGAAACATATAAGGTGGTTTGAAGCTATTCCTTACGAAACATAAATCAATCTTTCTATCAGTAAATAAGTGTCAATATTCGGCTTAAATGCACTTGCAAGATTTAGTATTTCACGCAATACTTTAGGAGTAAAATTCGAGAGAAGAAACAAACTCATGAAAAAGGGATTTATAATATATTTGTTATAAGCTAATGAAGACAATTGAAAAATAAATATTTTAAATATTTTTTTTAGATTAGTTAGGCTAATTTGATATGATTTTAGTATAATGAAAACAAAACTTTTATTATAGAATTTTTAATCACATTAACAATTCATAATAGGAACATGAGAGTACTCAAGGCTGCTCCACCAATGAAGACTAATGCTACCGTTTGAAAACACATGAACGTGGCTAAGGGGGGCTTATGCATTTTTTACACTTACACTTTTTTACACTTATACGAAAATATTTCGTCCTAAGAGTGTGAACGCAGGATGTTTAAGAATGCCTATATGGTAATGACCGCGCTACCGAAAAGTGATTAAGCAAGGTATGAACATATGTAAGTGCAGTTATTGAAATCAGAAGAATTATTTTAGGTAATGATCTTTTAATTTACTTATTTATTTTTATTTTTTTGTAATAAAAAGCATAAAAATAAATATTAAACGGAATTTTCTTTACTATTTCAATATTTTACTATTAGAAATCTTTTTATGCTAATCAGTTTTATGAAAGAAATTTATAAATTACCACCCCCATTGCCTGCTCCGCAACTTGGCTAGTCCACTGTCTTGTACTGATATATAATTTGTTAGAATCATTATTGTAATGCTTCTAAACTCATTCTTTGCAAGATTATAAGCCTTTCATTGCTTATAGGCAGTGTTAATACCAAAACTACATCAATCACAGATTTTTAAATATGTCAACATAGAGTAAAATAATTTTAAAATGTAGTGAGAGATAATGATAATTATTAGATTTCGTTGTCTTGCCAAAAATCTACTTGACCACAGCAGCGATGACAGAATTAAATTATCAAATAAGTATTTCTGTCAATTTAAAGTTTGAACTTCTTAAATAAATTTAGTTGTTTTGTCAATGAATTTGGCAAAAAAGTGCACAAATTATTCCTCTCAATTCCGCCAATTAATTTCATATAATAATAAAAACGTGTTATGTGTAAAAAAAAAGCCACACGCAAGCATCTCAGAAATGCATTGCTATGCATTGCTGGCAGTATTAAAGACTTCTGCAGCATTTCGAGATACTTTCACTCTGCCGCATAATTTAGCAACGCAGTTTATATCGTTCAGCAGCTCAAATGCATAGCTCAAATGCAGAGCCTGCAACAGCCGGAAAAACAAGTGTCTACGTTGTGGTTATATTGGAAATTGCGATGCAATTGTTTAATTTCAGTTGCATTAAATTTAAATAAAAACTAAAAATACAATAACAAATTTGGCCGAAAGCTACTTTTGCAACATGTTGCATTTAGTTGTTACTTTTTTACCATTGTTTATACTCGTAAACACGTTCATACGAATCGTTAGTGTAATTGTCTGTGATATAGTCGGTGACTATGTCTTTTACGGCTTCCGTATTTGGTCATTTTAATGTACATTTACTATGCAATCTTTATGTGCTTTTGCTTATGGATCTATTGTCCCGTCATATAAAATTGTGTATTTCAAATTATTATATGATTTTGAAATTTATCATTTCACTGGTATAATTTTAAATAATAAAAATTATGTTTTACTAGGAAGTAATTATTATCTAAATCAAAGTAGTTCTACTGCAGTTTTATGATTGGATTTGTGCAATCACCTAAGGTTCATTTTTTAAGTCTACAAATTTTTATAACACATTGACTAATAAGTCCGTTAGACGATACATTGGCAGCAAATAGAAGAAGCTTTCAAATGATACCTGCCAAAATTACAACATATTTAATATACGTTTAACATATTTAATAAACGTCATGTGGATACATTAGTTTTATTCACGTTACTTTTTATATTTTCAGAGCAATTTCATATCTTGATTTGTCATTGCTTTTGAACGGAAAAAAATTCGTGAGAGCAAAAGTTGGGTTTGATAAATGATATCCGGATTCTGCCTTATCGAGAGAACTAATAGAATGTGAGAAAATAATAGAAACGTACCCATACAAATACCAAAGATGCCGAACGCGTTGGTTCCCAAACTGTAGCTCTACCATCCATCTGTTCTCTTGTGCTTCTACGTACACAAACCTTAGTCCAATTGACCATTGGACACACCCTCTTCAAGTGGTTAGGTTTCTTTGTCTGTACCCTCACATTTTAATCCCACACATCCTTTATCTTTCCCTCTTCCCTTTTCCCTCACCCTTATCCCAGACACCACCAATTCACAACCCAACCCATGTATTCGTCTTGTAATCCTTAGATGTTATCTGCTTTCAGATCCCTGCGGGTTACAACAACAACAAGAACAACGTGTTGGTTGCCTAAGAGCGGTGGTGACTCCGGAAAACATTGAGAAAGTCCCAAAATGCATTTTAACTTCACAACTCATTAAATTAAGTTGTAGAAGATAGTTAGCTGGCCCCTTGAAGATTTAAAAAGAATATTTTACATCAAATTTGTCTATGAGAAAGCTCTTTTCGAAGTGGGTAAAGCATTTGTTGACAATTAAACAAAAACAACAACGTTTCGATAATTCTGAGAGGTAGTTGACTGTTAAAGCGAGATAAAAAGAACTTTTTGTGTCGGTATGTAATAATGGACAAAATTTGAGATAAAAATAACTTTTTGTGTAGGTATGTAATAATGGACAAAATTTGAATCTACCATATCACTCCAAAGTCGAATCGGCGGTCAGCTAAGTGCACAGCAACTTGCGAACCTCGCTCAAAACGGTAAAAAACATTATGACATCCATTGTGAATCGATTACCTTAAAAATTACCAGACCATCGACAGCGATTGCTATATGGAAGAAATCGGGCAACAACGGCTCCATATGGAGAAACATAAAGTCCTCTTTCACAAAGACAATACGTCATATCACAAGTCATTGGCATCATGATTAAATGCCACTAATTATACCTTGAATTGCTTCCGCACCTATGGCAATTGCCATATTTGACTCTCAACCATTATTTTCCTCGATAGCGAACTGATACGCTTCCAACTTGAATATATCTCTTTGAGAAGATATGTATTTTCAATACGAAACTTTTGTTAGCAATTTTTTGTTGTCTTGTAAAAAACGTAGTTTTTTTTTATTGCACACTAGACTATCTCATGTAAGTGTTTTATTAATTGATGTCAGAGATGATGCTGTTGATGGTGGTGAAAGCAGGTAATCACTGATGCTAATCGCATTAATTGAAAACGTTTATGTACTAGCATTTTAATAGATAAAATAGACAACTGTATTATATACGTATTATACTTATATATTTTTACAAGCACTCATTAACATGCAATCGTTCATTCACTAAATAATAAATTTTGAAAAATACAATTAAGTCAATCTATTTTATGTACTTCGTAATTGAAGTGCAGTATTTTAATCTGAAATTACAGTTAATAATAAATTATTATTGGATCACAATTTTGAATCACATTTGTTTTAGTAATAAAATTAGATACTGTGCTACTTTTTCTGACTAAGTTTGTTAACAAAACTTATCAATTCACATATTGAAAACAATACTTATAAACGGAATAATACTTATTCTGTTGCTGGAATAAATCATAATTGAAGAAATTAATAAAAATATATACTCGCATGAAGGTTATATATTTATTTTTTTGAGTAAATATTAAAAGTATGTTTTTTGTACTAGAAATACCTAAGGCATGTTAGAACTAAATACAGCCAAAATAATCACTATTACTATATCTAATAGAACAATGACACTCAAGAACAATGGAAACAAAAATGATTTATTTCGAAGAGATAACTGCATGTAGCTATCAGTGTCGATTCTAAAAATATAATCATTATTAAGTAATAATTGTCTAAAAACGTTTTTATTAAAAACTAATAATTAATACTTGGTGTATGTAAAAATTACTTAAGTTCTCTAGTTTTTTTTTTATAATATATTAATTTTTTAATTATTTAATATCGTGGCTATCCTAAAATAATCAAATTTTTTAAATATTTTCGATTATAATATTCTTCAGTATTTATAAATATTTTCATATTTCAAATTGTGTAAAATAATTTTTTTTAATATTATTTCAGTATTGTTTAATTGTTTAAATTATAAATATT